CTTTTTATCAAATCATGACAATTGAAAACTTATTAAAACATTTCAAAGAACAGTGATAAATAAATTAGTTTTTTAAATATTAATATCAGCGGAATCACAGTGCCAATTGACAGACTTTTTGACAAAATTATCAACAAAAAGTTTAAACCTAAACAATCGATTGTTGATAGGTCTAAGAATTTTATTTGCGAAATCCAACACAGCAAGTTGCAATGTGGCGGGCCATCACTGCATTAGGGCGTTCTAACATCACGCGGCCTAAGAAAATTACAATTTGTGAGCCCTAAGTGCCGTATTTACTTCAGACATGTTTCTTCAGCAAAATTGTTTTCAAAAAATATTTTCTTATAAAAGATTGGTTTGGGGCCAGAAGAAATTGCATTTTTTTTCTCATAAGATAGGGCACCACTGCGTCATTCTTTGTCCGGTGCCCTGTCAATTAAATTTTGTCGGTTTTAAGAATACTAAACTGCAATCCTGTGACTCGTATATTATACTGAATGAAACCTCATGGTACTTCAAGCCAATTATCCTCAGTCGTAGACTATGTACTGAAAATTTTTGTGTGAAATGCCAAGTTTTAAACTATGTCATTAATAGTATTTTAATATCTATACAAATCTTAATATAAAATATGATAACAGGAGCTTCCCTACTTAACTTACAAACAATTTGACCTTACATCTGAAATTTACATTTTTCTTTAATTTTACAGTTCGTTTCGGAGTCGTGGGATGATGCAGAAGTCAGTCTTTAGATAGCGATAAATAATACATTTTTAATAAATAATTAATGAGAATTTTGCATATTGTCATTTTTCGTTTTCAGACAAATTATGACTTTCTATCGCTTCCTGTATGGTGGAAATGAAGTCGGTAACGTTGGAGTAACGGTGTTTTCCGCTATTGTTTGCAATTTTTTTATAAATCTTCACGATTTGTGCTTAAAAACCGCATTTACAACGTAATAGCAAGTATAGAACTGGAGATGCAAGAAGTATGCACAAACTAATCCTGACATTTAGTGCTGAATTTATATATTTTTTAGGCCCTAAGCTAACAAAAGATTGAAACTCTTCCTCAATTTTTTTACTGTATAAAAAATACACATATGACTATTTAAACAGATTGTAACTACACAGCAAAGTCTTTATTAAATTATTTAACTTTAAGACATGTAGAATATAAATTAAACAAAATATAATATAAAATAAAAATTTAAACTCCTTGAAAGTTGAGACCCCAAGCTTTAGTTTATTTACCTTAATGATAAATCCGGCACTTCTGACGTTATAAAACTAAATGGATTATGTGAAAAACCGCGTAGGAAATAGCCACTACAAAGCATCAGCGAATGGGTAAACGAGCATAATGTATTCTATTTAGTTCACTGAAAGATCAAACACTACCAATATGATGTTATTCTGTGTACAAATATACTTTCTATGTTAGTTTTTGACATATACACATTGAACTACAAAAAACCTTCGGAACCTAACATGTTCAAAAGAACACCTGTATTTCTTATCTATAAAAGTATTTGATTTCAACAATAATCTTACATAATTGTGCTATTATTCAGTTATATTATATCATAAAAATTCACTTTGTGTTCCAGACAATATAATATTGTTTTCCTTCCTTCATTTCTACAACTGTAATAAGTTTTGATTTAAAATAAGGTTCACGTATGCAATAACTACCAATCACATTTGTACTGAAGAGGAAACAGATAACAGATAACTCAAATACATTTGGACTATGCTGAATACTACAGAGTTTGCTCACGACATATTATAGTTTTTAAAAATATCAGTTATATTAAATAATGTACTGATGTTAGTAAAAAAAATTAATTAATTAATGAAAGAATTTTATTTCTGTTATACAAAATTCATATACTAACACATTACGGTATAATAAAAATTACATTAAGTATGTACCAAAAATCTTTCGGTTTTATATTCGTTGTTCCTAAATATTCTTCTCTTAAGTCCAATATTTTTCATTTTCTATAAAAAGTTCTTCGTTGTCTCTTAATCGCTGATTGAATTCAGAAGTATCAAACGAAGGTAACTTTCCACCAAGTTCTGCAGGAAGATATTTTGGATCGATTTCTTTGTGAAGTTCTGTGAAATCTGAACCATACAAACGAATCTGAAAGTCAAACAAAATTTATTTGCTTTTTATTCTATTAAACTATATTTGAATTAAGTTGTTTGAAAAAAAAATTAGCATAATTATGAGTAGAAGCTTTTTCACATGTTTTAGCAGTTCTTTACAAACCGTACTTAGACTTCAGATCGCGAATTCTTTCTATTGAATTACCTATATTTCATTTTATATTTATTGTTGTGTGTTATAAATGTTTAAAACAGTTTCAAAACTATCCCGAATAAAGATTGCAAACCAAAATTCAATTAATTTTTTGCCTCTTCGATTTAAATTTCAGGAAAAGTAAATTCTATTGAATAAAAGATAAAGTGGTTTCCAGAAAAAGTAACTTTGATTTTAATAAATCAAGCCAAGCAAATCTTGCCAATCGATGAACAAACGCGAATTTTAATCGATAATGTGTCAAAAAATATAATACAGTATTATGTTTCCTATGTATATGTTTACTTTGGAGTTACTTCTTTGGTGCATTGTCAAAGAAATACAAGTCGAATCTTTCTGCTACACGCTCTTACTTAAACATTTCTGAATTCATATAATAGACGTTTGTAACATTTTTGAGTGTTTCAGTATTCGTCATTATACCGTACATCATTCAATCCGAATCTGGCGAACGTTTCGGGTGTATTCTATATAAATAAATAACTTATATGTGTACATAACACAACAAAGACATTTCAAATATTTTGTATATGTTTAGTGCTATAAAATCTGGTATTCTGATGAATCCAGAGCTATCAATCTGGGACTAAATGCTAGTTTTAAGTCATCAAATGTGTACTGTACAGTGTGAGCAGATTATGCCTCTGTCATACTCTTGTTTAATGGTGAAATAACAGCATGTTTCTATCAAATTGATTACTGTATTATATTTTCGACAGGAAATACATATGTATTATCTGGTAAATACCATTGATAATTTCATATTTTATAAAAAAAAATTTATAATATACTTACTCGTTTTTTTATTTTTCGAGGTAGAAGCGGAGAAAACATTGCATAAAGTATTCTCACATATTTATTGCAGTTGAAAAAATGAATGGTCTTGTACCGAATCGGAATTGATTGCTAAAAGTAAATTAAAGTAAACCTTCAAAATATTCATAAATTATTAACATTACAATCAAATATATTTAAATTCAAATTTAAAGGTCACATAAGAACAAGTGACCTTTCAATTTGTTATTATCAGATGACCTTTCTATTTTATGAATGGTGTCAATCAGTTTATTAACGAATACTGTCAGATACACATCAATTAGGAGTATTACAACAGATTGTTCCAGCAGGTACAGAACGAACTAAAAAGGGAATTATGAGAACAAGCTGTCACCTATCTCTCAAAAATAAAGACAGAAAAAGAAGTAGCTAGTGTGAGAATCGGGGTTTATGCATCAAAGCCTAAACCGTTTTCCGACAACGGTGCGGTGAGTTCCGCTCACAGGGTCAGTGGATGGCAATTTAGGAGGGCGAAAATCGAGTGGGAGGTCGCGGATAAGTCGATAAGGCGTTGACCGAGTACGAGTAAACACACATATTTAAGATAACATATATATATATTTAATTAACTAAAGATATATTTGAAAGGGTTACAATAATTAAAAATACTACTAATCTCTAACCGAGGTTACAATAGGCGGTTTTCCGGCCTTCATCTCGCATATTTGCGATAGAGGACATTCTTGGATCCTCTTAATATCTATTTAGGAATTAGCCCTAGTCCACTTGAGAGAAGGGAGAAAGTTCTACTTACTAAGTTGTAGCTCGTAGAATCTAACCGTGTTGTCCGTCTTTAGCGGTCAGCGATGAGGATCGTCAATCCGTTATTTCCTTCTAAGTTGGAGGCCACCCCGATACTGGCCGGGAGCCCTCTTTNCTCAGAGAGCGGTGGCACGACATGGATTAAGAATCACTGGCCTAGAATGACTGTTTCTTAACAGGGTGGCCACTGCCCCCTGAGGGTCCATAAGAAGTTCGCCAGGAGCCGCCAAATTATGCGAAATTTCCTTCAGTATATAATAAAAAGAAAATTGAGTTCTAAGCATAGAAGTTCAAGGAAATTCAAAACCACAATGCGTCATATGCGGTGTAGTTCTCTTCAATGAAGCAATAAAACTAAATAAATTCTTGAGCAATATAAAATTTAAAAACAAAACGCAGGATATTTTATAAGGAAAATTGACAAATAAAAAATTCAAAAGATGCTCATAAATGTGACAAGTACTAAAAATAAGGAAGTATTAAAAGCTTCATTTCTTGTAGCTCTTTATCAAAACAATTATTTACAATAGCCGAAGAATTATTAAAACCTGCCATGTTTAAAATTTGTAAAGAACTATTTGAACCATTTATGTCAAACAAAATTAAAGAAATACCTATGTCAAACGATACAATTTGTAATAGGACTATATTGATAGCTAATGATCTTCAGGAACAGTTAACTAGTAATATTATTAATTAATTAATTTCAAAATTCTCATTGGTTTTCATTGCAAATAGATGAATCTATAGACATTGCAGATTCAAGATCCATACAACAATTATAAAAGCACCAATTTATTTGTATTAATTACAATGTACCAATTAAGTACATATTTTTGTGAGGACCTAGATCATCTGTCATCCACCAGTTAAGATTTCTTGCTTTATTTTATTACTTTCAGAAATAAATCGTAATATATCGATGAGTTTTAAATGAACATAAAAATATGGTTTACATTTTTATTAAGTTTAAAATATTATTATATTTTATATTATATTATACATATAGTAATCGAATAACTACAGTAATTGGTTTCGGTCGTAAACCAATTTGGTTTTACGTCAGTTTTTACATTTTATGCAATTCCAAATATTATTTTTTTTTTTAATTTTTACACTCGTCTATCTTAAGCAGAAATATTTAACTCATGTCTTATGGGCAAAAAAAGACGAATAAACACGTGTCTTATGGGCAAAGAAAGGCGAATAAACATCTTTGAGAAAACATCTTACATGAAAGCCGAGATCGGGTTTCATGTAAGAAACGACAAATTGACAGTCAGACGAGAGGCAGACAATGGTCAGTTTATAGGTCTAAAATCTTTTCAAATTGTGCCCAATGACACTCCAAAGCTTGCAGGACATATCTTTCAGGGCAAGACGTAAAATATTTCGAATAAAGTTGTCGATTAAATGCAGTGACGATTGTGATCGTAAAATCGATCATTAGTAAGTCGATGCTTACCTCTATACATATATATGATACGTGTAAAAAAAGAAAAACATTCACTCTCAATTATTCGCTCCGTTACAAATTTCTGTGAATTATTTAAAAATCCTAATATTTTGGCGATTTTTCAGTAACTTATCACACAAGGAACTCTTATTAATACAGGCTTTATTAATGGAAATCCATTTCTGGTTTTAATAAACCCTCTTCAAGCTTTATTTTTTGTACAGATCTTATCAAAACAAATGATATATAACTATTAATTTATTGATAAGATCTGTATATCTTTAATAATATATTTATTCTACTTGTAATTTATAAAATTCGTACTTACATATGTGCAAGAAACACATAATTGAATTATTCCAGGAGTAAACTGAATCATATGTTTCCAAGAAAATGTATCAAAATCTATTATTGTAGTACATCCATTTACTTGAATCGGATGATCATTTAGTTCTAAATCTAACAAAACTATATTGCATTTTATTAAATCAATTATTCTCACTTTCGTTGGATCGCAACGGCCTGAACAAAAATAAGTTTATAAATAAAATTATCTTAAGTCATTTTATAAATATTACTGAAGTCACTGACTTACTAGTTAATGCTATACCCAAAACTTTGTCGTTGTCGAACCTTGTAGATGAGAATATATTCATTTGCAGAAATTCTTCTAGCGCTGATGGTCTTAGATTCTTAAAAACATTTGGATATTTCTTTCTGGTCGAGTAATAATTCTTCAACAATTTTAATGCTTTTTCTCTGTCGAATTTTCTTGCTCGTAGAAAACTCAGAAGAAATATGTCGTCAGTTCTACAGTTTAGGTTTTGTTCATCTTTTGTTCAGGTAAAATAAGATAAAATTACAATTTTATAATTAATAATATAAAGCCAATAAATTAATTTTTATATACTACATATATATCTAAATATATAAAATTGCTTGTCCTGACTGACTCACTCATTCATTCACTGATTCATCATCGCCCAGAGCAAACCGCTTAACCTAAAGAGGTGAAATTTGGTACACAGTTAGGGTACGTCATGGAAACGCACACTAAGAAAGGATTTTTCGAAATTCCAACGCGGGGGGGAGAGGGAGAGGATTAAGTCTTAACCGGAAAAACGGCTTCTACTGCACTATTTTAGATGCGATTTTTTGTTTTTATCTGCGTT